TCCCAGCCACCGTCAGTTCTGAGGAAGGGTCACCGGACCCGAAACGTTAACTCTGTTTTCTCCTTCACAGATGCTGCCAGATCTGCTGAGCTTTTCCAGCAACTTTGTTTTTGTTCCTGATTTATAGCATCTGCAGATCTTTCGGTTTTTAAAAGGTTGTGATCTGAGGCCTTTCAGCCATAGTGCTCCAATGGGCAGTAAACTGCAGAATCCCAAAAGTTGTACATCTAACAAGGAATATACATAATGAACATTAAGAACATTGAATTTAATTGCGGTTGCTCAGAGTGTAACACGGTGCAAGAGGCAAAGTTTACATCTATTGCAGTCTAACATCTGATTTGAAATGCTTTATCCTGGGGCTGTATGCCTGACATAGAATATATATTGTTATTATGAACACTATTACAATCAGAGGGAAGCACCTAAGAATGGAACATGATATATTACATTGAATTTGTTTTGAAATGCTTCAATATTCAGGTTGAAATGCTTTGTAATTGTAATAATTGTAACTTGCACAACATTTTATGAATAAACTATAGTTTGAAATAAAAGCGATACCTGTGACAATAGCAACTCAGAGTAATGCAGCCACGAGCAAAGGATGGCACCTTAGTACATGTTGTGGCACAAAGACAGAAATGAAGAGAAGAAATAATAGAACATTGCATAGTCAAAAGAGATAGACTTTTGCAGTAGCAATTGAGACAGCAGAATAATTTGTGTCCCTCGAGTATCAGACAGGTACAAAATAAACTAGCAAGGGCAACTCAGAAACCTTGGTTTATCTTCAAATTAGTAATAAAGGAAGGAACATAACTGAGTTTGGAGGCAGATTAATTTTAAGGATTTGAGGCAGTCTCAGGATTACACTCAGTGCCACATGCTGTCAGTACAAGGACGCAGGTACAGCAGTGTTGTGGTTAGATTAAATTAGCAATTCAGAGGCTGATTGCCCAAAATTGCAAAATGAAGTTTAATGCAGCTGTCAATTTGCAAGTTAACATCACAATAAACATTAAATGTGGAAAGCTGCTGCTTGGTTAAAATAAAATGGCTAGTTCACTAATATTCTTCTGAAAAGAAAATCTGCAATTTTTACTCAATCTGGTACACATCATATAAATAAATTTAATGCTTCTGAAGTGGCTATCAATTCCTCAGAACAGCTAAGATAAACAATAAAAGCAGCTTTGCCAACATCATTCATATTCTCAGAAAAAACATAAATAAGTAATGGTGTCAAACGCATGGCAGAAGTTCTGAAATAGAAGATGTAATCATTCAGGCCTTCCACAAATGTCTGCTGATTGCTCTGCCAGATTCAACTAATGGAAATTTGAGAGATTAAATAAGGTCACAAACACTGACAAGAGAAACTTTGATCTCAAGGTCAATGTCTTTCAAAGACCATTCTTTCTGTCAGTCAAAAGAATTTATACTTGAAGCATATGATCCCATCTGTAGGCCTAACAGGAATACATATTTGGCTCATTGTCAACCTTTAATGACAGGTTTAGTTTAGTGCAAGGGATGGCAATGCATTGGTCAACCTTAATGTTCAGGT